CCCCAGTTCCCGTCTCAGCCCTGGGCTGACCTTGAAGCCTTCTGCAGCTGCTTTGGGCTTGTCACAAACCTCTTTTATCTCCTGAGAGCTGCAGGAAATCCTTCCAAGGCACCAACAAGCCTGGGTGGAGCTCACCTGGGTGTGGAAGGTGTCCCTGCCCTGGATCTGGGTGGGTTTAAAGTCTTTTTACACCCTCTCAGCTGTGGAATCTCAGCAGCTCAACTTTTCTGGAGACAATCTCAGCTTTTTTTCCTTCTTTCCTTACCCCATCCCTCTTCTGGAACTCCTCGAGCACCTTTGTCATCACTGGGATCTCCCTTCCCACCCAGAATTTCCCTCCCTCCCCATCCTGTGTTGGAATTAACCTTTGCCCAAAGGCAGCAAGATTTCCTCGTGCAAAATTTCACCTTGAGCCTCAAATCACCTCTGCTTTTGTGGATTTTTTAACCATCTCTATCCCAACAAATTGAGGTGTTTTTTTCATCACCCCCTAACACCATTTTTATTTGTGTCTAAGAAGTTCCTAAAAAATGTTTCTGGGGATGGGAGGTGGAGGAGATCTCCACCTTGCAAAGCAGCCAGTAGGATTTGTCAGTAGATCCTCTGCTTTTTTGGTCCAAAGTATGTTTTTAATTCTCATCCTGGTGGACTTTGTGGCCATATCATCATTATCTCACCAGCTGTGAAGCTCCACATGAACATATGGGGAAAAATGAGCAACGGGGTGAACTTTAGGTAATACAAAAATTATCTGTGGGAATGTCTGGAATTTTAAATTCCTGGGATAAATGAACATTTGCAGCCACCATCATCTTTTATTAAGCAATATGGCTCAATCCCATCCACAGTCACAGCTGCTGTCCAGGTAAATCCTAGATGGGAACATGGACCAATCCCCAAAATGTGCAAATAGAAACAGGGGGGCAAACAGAGCTCATTTCCCCAAGGGATATGATCTGTGCTGGGGCTCCAGCACTGCAGGAACACAGAATTCCAGAATAGCTGGGGCTGGGAGGGACCCTTGGGAGTAATCCAGTCCAAGGCAGGGCCACCCAGAGCAGGTGACACCAGGACACATCCAGGTGGCTTTGGGATGTCTCCAGACAGACTGCACATCTTCCCCGGGCAGCTGTTCCACAGCTCTGCCACTCTCCATGGAATGAAGTTCTTCCTCATGGTGAGGTGGGACTTGTGTTTTAATTGATGGCCATTAAACACAGCTAATTAATGAACACCCCGGTCTGGCAGGCAGCGATTCAGGTACAACAAAACTGCCCTGTTTTGTTGAGGATTTGGCAGGACAAGAGGGATTTGGAAGGGCTGGGAGCACGAACCCTGTGAGGGGCTGAGGGAGCTGGGGGTGCTCAGCCTGGAGAAAAGGGGACTCAGGGCTGGCCCCATCGCTCCCACAGCTCCTGGAAGGTGCCTGTGCCCAGCTGGGCTGGGGCTCTGGCTCCAGGCAGCCCTGACACAACCAGAGCACACAGCCTCAAGCTGTGCCCAGGGAAATTCAGGTGGGAGAGCAGGAAAAAGCTTTTCCAGAAAGGTGCTGAAGCTCTGGGATGGCTGCCCGGGGAGGTGGTGGAGTCACCAGGCCTGGATGTGTTTGAAAAGCCTGGATGTGGCACTGGGTGCCAGGGGCTGGCTGGGCTCGATGCTCCTGGAGCTTTCTCCCAACCCAGGCATTGTGTGAATTCTGTGAATTCTGAGGTTTTGAGGCCTTTTCTGGATCTTTATGCACTGTGAGCCTCATGGCTGATGGAGGGCTGCAGTGCCCAGCCACATCCTCAGCTGCATCCCAACCTCCCTCCCCTTTTTCCCCGCTCTGAGGGACCGGACACCCGCAGAACTCTGCGAAAACCCATCCAATTGTCTTTTTGGGAAACAGCCAGCCCTGGAGTGGGGGTGATGCTGATCCTAAAGCCCCTCCCTGTGTTCCCCTGGCAGGTGGAGCAGAACTGGGCGACGCTACAGGGTGGGGAGATGACCATCCAGACGACGCAGGCCTCGGAGGCCACGCAGGCGGTGGCCTCCTTAGCCGAGGCGGCGGTGGCGGCGTCGCAGGAGATGCAGCAGGGAGCCACCGTCACCATGGCACTCAACAGGTACCTGGGGAGGGCACAGCTGCCACAACCTGAATTTTCCCCTGCCTGGGTTTCCTTCTGCTGGGGCAGACTTCACCCTGTGCAGGTGGGAAGTCTTTTCCTCAGCGGATTCCTACGGCGGGTGGTGTGTGCAGGATGGCTCCTGATTCCTGCTCTGTTCAGAATCAGGATTTCCTCCTCATGTCACTGGTTTTGGGGTTTTTTTCCTTCCAATCTTTCTGTAGTAGAAGCTGAAGGAGCTGCAGTGGTTATTAGGGTTTTTGGCTGCACTCAGGTTAGCAAGATGTGAGGTGTAGCTCCACAGGTCCATCCGGCAGGACAAAATATCTTTGCTCAGTTCTGCTGAGCTGCTTAAACTCATCCTGCTGTTCCTACAACCTGGCAATGGCTGTGGCACTCCCTGAGGGATAGGAAATCCCAGTGCAGCAGTGAAGGAGGTTTCTCACTGCTGAGGTGTGGACAAGAATTTCCCTCATCCAAACCAGGATCCTGGTTAGAGGCTGTTGGCTGAGCAGCCAAGGGATGGGACACAGCACCAGACCACCCTGCTGGTAGCTGGAATAAAGCTCCAAGACCTTGCTCCATCCAGAAATTGCTGAAGGAATCCCTTTGACCCCAATTTGCTCCCAAATCTCTGTTGGGATTGAATCCCAAACACACCTAGAACTGTTTCTGCTGTTTATGATGCAGACTTGGGTCCTTCAGATATTTCTTATCTGCTACATGAGGCTGGTCAAATCGACTTGTTTTACTAAATAGTTTCCCTGTAAAATTCCCTTTTAAAAATAAATGATATTTCCAGGACACTGGAGTTACAGGAAAAAGCCCTCTCTCCCCAAATCCAACTTGCTGGATTCTGGAACTTCCCTGTTCTGGAACTCCTTGAACACCTTTGTAGGGCTTTTGGGCCTGGCCTCATTTGTGTGAAGAAATTTAACAGCACTCTGCTGGAAAATAATGAATAATGCTCATTTAAAATAATTATTAAGCCACTGGGCTGGGGAGGAGCTGAAGGCAGAGCTGGTGATGCTGGTCATGGCAGCAGGGTGAGGTGAAGGGGCAGAACCAGGGGTGAAGGGAGAGCTCTGAAATCTGCAGAGCCCCAGGATGTGCCAGTGCCAAAAGTCTGATACCTGAATGCAGAAGCAGGAAGGAGCCACGTGGAATAACTGCTTGGATTGTCCCAAATTTTTATCCAAGTCCCTGTTGAAAGGGAGAACACAGGGCTGCTCTAAGCACAATCCACCAGAAGCAGCTTCTTCCCATCCATTCCTCCTTCAGTGTTGATTTCCTGCTGCGTATCACTTCATCCAGGCCAGATACAAATCCCCCTGCTCTGGGCTGCTCTCCTGGCGTGTGTTTGCTGGTTAAAATGGAGATTTTTTGGTTTCCCTGGTGCTCCTAACCCTTCTGTCCCCTCTGCACGCCCGCAGTGAAGCCGCTGCCCACGCCGTAGCCACGCTGGCCGAGGCCACCCTCCAAGGAGGGGGACAGATTGTCCTGTCTGGGGAAACTGCAGCGGCGGTCGGGGCGCTCACCGGAGTCCAGGATGCCAATGGTAAGGCCTCTGCAAAGGTTTCCTTTTGGCTTTTTTTATTTAGGCTCTTAAAAACACCCTTTTCCTCTCTTTTAGTTGAAATGGCACGGTTTGGGTGGTAAAATACTCCTCCCTCGCTCAAGGGGTCACTGACAAGTTGTGGGTTTTAATCTCAGGGTGGAATGGGAGCATTAACTCCTTGTTTGCTCCCGTGGTGCTGGTGGCTCTGATCTTTCCCTCCTCTGACAAAACCTTAGGGTTTTTTTGGGAAAACTGCTCTGTGATGTGTGTCTGTGCCCAGCACAGGAAGGGCCAGCCTTGATCAATTAACACAATTAGTCGGTGCCATAATAAACTCATCTCCAGAACTCTTAAACCAACATTTTATTACTAATTTCCTGCCCTTCTCAAGGCTTTTTTTCTGTGCTTGGTGGCTGTTCCTGAGTCAGCCCCAGGTCATTTTCGTCCTGCTTCATTTTCCATCTTCTCACCACAGTCAGTCTCTTGATTCCAGGGATTCTCTGTAGCATTTCTCACCTGTTCGTTTCTCACCTGCCTTCTATCAAGTCTGGTGACTTTTGCAGCTCTTCAAACTAGAATTAAAACTGTAAATCTGTAAAATCCAGTTCAAGAGATGAATGGAATATGAAAATGTGCCTCGTTGGGGTTCACCCACTACCTCCCGTTGCCCTGTGCTTCAGCCTGCCCCTGGAGGTGTTTAAGGAACACCTGGAAGTGGCACTGAACACCTTGGTGTTGGGTCACAGGTTGGATTCAGTGATCCCAAAGGTCTTTTCCAGCCTGACTCTGGGATAATTTCCGAGCTCAGACTGGTTATTATGCAATTACCCAAGAAACCCACTGGTTGTTTGGGTTAGGTAGAAGGAGGTGTGTCAAAACCAGCTGGAAAAGGGCGCAAAGAGTGAAGCTGTAAAGAAACCTCGAGGGTGGGGCTGTTTGGACAGGAATTGTCAAAGAGAGGCCAAGCACGTGTGGCTGGGTGACAGGACTGTCACTTTGCAGGAAAGCAGAAACCTGCTCAGCTGAGAGCTGCCTTCCATCAGCATCCTCACCCAGCGTGAACACCGAGGTTTAGTTTGCAGCAGAGGAGGGATTTGCCTCGGAGCTGCTTTGATTCCCTTGCTGTGGAGTCAGCCAGCCTGAAGAGGGAGCAGAAATGAAGGGAAATGCCTGTCCCCGGAGCTGGGGATGCATCTGGCACCGAGGGACGAGCAGGATTGTGTTTGTTGTGCCGGCAGCCTGGTGTGAGGGTGATAAGTGCTGTGTGTTTATCGGAGGCAGGATCTGACCCTGGATGCTCAAAACCAGCAACTAATCAGATTTGGAAAAGCAGATCTGCACCCCTGGCTCCTTTTGCTCTGCTTCCAAAATGCTTTCACAGTCTGGATTCCTCTGGATGCTTCCCCTAAAACCTCAAACTCCCCTTCTCCACACCCTCCCTGACTCACTCCACCTCACTCTCCCAGCACTGGCATCATTTCAATACAGGCTGGGCTTTTTTCTTTTTCCTTTTTTTTTCTCCTTTTTTTTTTTTTTTCTAGCAGCCGAGTTGGAAATCAGATGGGATTTAGAGTGCATTAAGAGGAGAGACTGCAGCATTTTCCTGTGAGCACAGCCTCGCCCACAGCCCCTCACTTGGTTTCCACTCTCCTTCGATTTGCTCTAATCTCCGGTGGTATTAAGGGGAAGGGCTTTGGAGTCCTTGGAAGCTCCGTGCTGTTGGTTCCTTACGTAACCAGCTAATATATCTCCCTCAGGGATGGAGGAGATGTTGGTATCCATTGCTGCTGTCTCTGTCTGGGGAGGGAGAGCAGATGGATTTCACTGCCGGCAGGATTTATCTCCGTAGCCGGGCTGGGGCTGGGAGCATCCTCCTGGACACCATTTGATGGATGCAGCGGGAAAAATCCACTCTGTGCCCTTCTGTCCAGAGGAGGTGGGAGTGATTTGGAAAAAAATAACTGCCAGAGCCAGAATGGTCCTAACCAGCAAATTCCCCCTTCTCGCTGTTGCTTGCAAGGTCTTAATTTGCTGATATTCCCAATAAATGCTTCTTTCTGGGAATGCTCTGATCATTCTGCAGGACTTTTCTGAGGAAAAAAAAACCTGTCTGGAAGGATAGGATAGAAATTTTATCTGCATCTTACTGATAAGGTAAAGGAGATAGTTTGACACCTCCCCATCCCTGGCAGTGTCCAAGGCCAGGTTGGCCAGGTTTGGAAAAACCTGGGATAGTGGAAGGTGTCCCCATGGCAGGAACGAGATGATCATTAACTCACTTCCAGCCCAAACCATTCCATGATTTCTGTGAAAATGTCTGGAGGTCAGGCAAGGTGTTTCATTCCTGATTTTAGCCATTAAGTATAATTACTCTCTTTTATTCTATTTTTTTTTTGGTTGTTGTTGTTGTTTCTCTCTCACTGTGACATTTTTCCCATCCCCTCTCTGGAATTATCTGAATAGTAATAACAATACAAGATGGCTAAAAAGAGGAGACCTCTGAATTTTCATGGAAATGTTGGAATCTAGGGCTGGATATCTTGCAGGAACGTGGCTGCACTGTGAAAGGGCTGTGGATAATCTTGTGATCTGTTCCATTCCCAGCTGAAGGAAACAAGATCTCCTGCTCCCGTGCAGTGTCAACCCAGCTAAGTGCATTATGGTTTTCCTGCTCCTCAGGAGCATCTGCTGCGAGTGGGGATGCAGGAACTGGTGACCCCACGCTTGGAGGCTCAGATGGTTTTGTTCCTAAGTGGTTGCTATTGAACAGAGGAATATGGAGAGCGAGTGGAGGGCAGTGTGGCAGCAGCAGTCCCTGAAAATGCTGGGAACTGCTCTGCTAAGGAGAACTCTGTGCCCTGGAGCTGCTTTTGGAGGGAGAGGAGCTCGGTGAGCGGCGCTGGAGCATCCTCCTCCTGCAGCCTTTTGTTTGCCATTGATCCGTGGGGCCCTGAGAGCTGCCAGGGCTTCCCGGCTGCATCCTGAAATATTGATGAGGCTCCTGGCAGGGCCGTGCCCGGGAGGGGCAGAGCAGCTCCTGCCCAGGCAGGGTTCATCAGCCTGGGGCAGCACGAATCCAGGCTTCTTGTGGAAGCTGAGAGGAGTGGAGCGCTCCAGCTCCAGCTGGGACTCAAAGCAGGGCATGGAATGAGGCGCCGTGGGAAGAGCTGGGAAGGAAGAAGCTGTGGGATCAAGCCATAACCAGGGAATGGATTTCACAGACCGGAGCTTGGCCCAGCCAGAAATCCAATGGATCCTTCTTGTCCCCCTTGGCTGCTCTTTTCTTGTCCCCAGAGCAGATTTTCCTGCTGGATCTCTTCCCCGTGCTGCTGGAGATGCTCCTGGGAGCACAAAGGGGGACACTGAGAGGGGTCCTGCCCTTCTCCATCCCAAAAATCCAATCCCTGCTCTCCATACAAGCAGAGGGGGCTGTGTTCAGGGCTGGGCTGAGCCAGGATCTGTGAGGAGCATTAGGGTCTGACGTGGGCAGGGATTAGAGAGCTCCCTGCTTTCACAAGCCCCGGAAGGAGGCATCAGCTCTCTTGGGTTTTGGCTTCTTTTTTCTTCTCCTCTCAAGGCTGCATCTCTCAAGCTCTCAAGACGATATTTTGTGTTCAGATTTAGGTGTTTATTATTTCTTATTGATATTACAAGTGGTGAGTTCTGCAGCATTCTACTAACAAGCTACAAAATAGCCCTCTATCTTTTTATATAAGGTCTTTTAAGGCTAAGCTATCCAATTAAAAAATTACACCTAAATTATTTTCACTTTTAACTTAATAACTGATCACTCAAAGTCTGCAATGCAGACCTTTTTGTCTAATTACAAAATACTACTTAAACTTACGAAGATGAAGGTGAAGAACAACTAGCCACTGCCCTAAAACTTCTCTCACCTCATATATATTGTTATATTCTAAAACGTTACATTCTTAAGTTTTCCACCATGTAATATCACACACTTCTAATCAAACTACACGCCCATAATTTCAGTGCTACCAATCAATTTTGGAAGCTTTCTCCACGGCCCCAGGTCAAATATAGTATTTTCCTGTGGCTCTGTGCCCTTCAGCACAGAAAGTTTAAAATTCTCAGCACCCAGGACTCCAACACGCGCAGGATAAAGGAGCCTCAGCGGAGTTTGGGGTGATAGCACCACACAGAACTGCTGCTCCAGGTGGTGATTTCTGTGTGGGAAGAGGTTTAAATGGTGGAAAAGCTTCGGTTCTGGGCCAGCTTCCCACACAAAGTCAGCAGGTGGGAAGTGTCCCCAGGCTGGGCTGTGCAGATGGGAAATGGGAACGCTGCTCTGGCAGCTCCGGGCCTGGAGCTGTGTCCCTGCCGGTCCCACCCGGCTGTTTGCAGATGAAAACACATCCAGGAGGGAAAGGCAGGACTGGGATCCTGCTCCCTGTGCTGGGTGTGTCTCCCAGAGGGCAGGAACACAGATGGGAAAACCCGGCACAGGTTTGGGATTCCTCGGGACAGGGAGGTGCAGCACGGATGGCTTTTTCACGTGAGAAACATATTTATAAATTTAATCTGGGGGAGGCTTAGGGGCTGCAAATGTCGCTTTTTAAAAAGGAGTTTTTTATGTTTTTCCTGTTGGATCTCCTTTTTAGGGAAGATGGAGCCAAATGAGTTGCTAGCGGCATGGCAAAGTGCAGATCAGCATGTTTGCATCCAGGAGGACAGGAAGGAAAGAGTGCAGCTTTTTGTAGGGCCTCCCTGGTGGGAACAGAATTTTTTTATGAAGGTTTACCCTGAAACAGGTAGGATTTAATCCCAATCTGAAGGAAAGGTGAGGAAAATCCTTTTTGCAGGTGTGTTTCAGATGAGAGGGTAGAAGAGAAGCCAGTGGCAGCAGCCAGCCAGGAGAGCAGAAGAGTGAATTCCTGGGTTTGCTGAGCAGCTCCAGGAGCGGAGAGAGGTGTTTCCTAGAGGAGAAATTGCTGTGTATCAATGAATAATTATCAGCAATGGAGCTGTTGGGCTCTGAG